AGTTTGAACAAATCATAATAGAAAATGTTTTGCAATAAAAAAAAAAGTTATGAAGAAATTTATGCCATTTTTGTCAATCTTTTTTTTTATGTACTTCCTTTTTAATTTAACATGTGAATAAAGTATTATTTTGTGTGGTTAGGTCGATGCCTCACTGACGTTTTCCAACCATTATATACATTTCCTCTAATTCATAGAAACGAGCGTCATCCGGTATAACATTTACAGTGACCTAACACGTTTTTTTTTAAAAAGGTTAATATCTAAAGTTTTTATGAGTCTGTAGTCGAACCAGTTTTTTTTTTTTTTGGCAAAATTTGATTGTTTGAAAGCGAAAAATAACCGATATTATCGGTCGTCCCACTGTCACTCTGCTCAGCTCTCAATAAAATTGCATATCACGGCTTTGTGACGTCAAATACGTTGACCCGGCCTTAATAACTTTGACCCGGACATATCAGCGACGTCATAATGTTTGAACCGACGTTGACAAGTTTGACCCGAACTTATTAAGTCATCTTCCAGTTTGCTGATGAAACAAAGAAAATACTTCCAAAAGACGCAAATACAGCCCGATAAATCGATTATCAGGTTAACTGCATATTGCGATTGTAAAATATCAGCTTCTCGACACAATATGAAGGATTTTTGATCTCGTTCGCTGCGCTCACTCGACAAAAAGCTTCATATTGTGACTCGCAGCTGATATTTTACAATATCAATATGCAGACAACCTGATAATCGGCACTTCTCATCGAAACCCTCAGTCAGACAATGTGTTATATTGCAAATCATCCTATCACGAAAAGAATATTGCCATATAACGTCTGCTCATATCAAACGTTTTATGGTCCCTTTGAAAACGCCTATTAATTAACTTTTGTGACACTCCGAGTGTAAATAATAGTGAAAACTAGTCTCGTTGACAATTTTCTCTTGTTTTTATTTCTTTCAAACGTAATTTAGCATGAAATATTTAATTGGAAGGACAGAAAAATTGCGCTTTTCTTTTGATAATACCTTGAATTTAGTCGCCAGAATGGTGATTCTGTATCGAACTAATAGATAACGTTTAAGCAGTTTGATAATTGTAGTATTAGTGTCAGCGACATCGCTTTTATATTTCATTTCGATTATTCATCTGTTTAATCTTGGAAAGCCGATTACGTTCTTGTGGAATATTACAATTTAAAATGTTGCCACGTGCTGACGGAGAGATGACATAAGTTACTTAGTATAGAACAATTCATTTATCTAGTTTACAAGATATTTGTTGACAAAAGAATAGATAGAATTAAAGAGACCTATGAAGAAAAAATATTGTATTAAGATATTCTACCGACTAAGTCACATGAATACTCCAAAAAAACTTTGCAAACGTTTAATACGGATTAAAATGAGAAATCCTAAAAAAACAAAAAGGTGCAGATACCTTTAGGTACGTCACGGTTCTATAAAGATAACTAACAAGACATCTGGAGGTCACTATAACATTTCAAGGAAGACTAAAGTTTAATACGATAATTAACAAATTTAGAAGAAACATTGTAGATTTGTATCACTATTCTCTGGTTTTCGCTGATCTTTGAAGTTATAAATATTGCCAAGTTTCAGTGTGATATTTAGCTCACCTTGCCAAAGGGTCATGTTTTCCGTCGTTGTAAACTTTTCAAAGTCTTTCCCTCTAAAATTCCATAACCAAATGTTTTGATCTTAGTAGTTATAATGTATGACCTATCTTCTGCATACGATCCTCATTTTGTTCCTATTGGATGAAAATCGTGTCCGACACAGTTAAAAATAGAACATATAAGGGGATTACTGCACTTTTTGCTTGAATCTAAAAGCATATTTCGAATTTTGTACATTATCTTGGAAAACTATAATAGATAGAGAGAGACATTAAATAGCAAAAATATCCAGAAAGACAAATTTACATATAAATCAAAAAGGTCGATATCGTAAATCGGCTCCTTATACGAGATATTGCCATTCAAAGATAACTTTTGCATTATTTTGATTTCTCTGAAAATACAATGTAAAATATTTCGAAACTTAGCATTGATGTATTTTATATCTTCTATACGATTCTCATTTTGCTCCTATCCAATTTTAACCAGGTGAGCGACTCTGGCTCCTAGGAACCTCTAGTTTTAATATTCTCACGGTAAACAAGTTCCAATATATCAAAATAGTTTTTGTTAAAATGTTACCCTGTCACACAAACTTAAAGACCAATAGAAGTAATATGCTTTTATGTTTTCCGTGACTTTTCAAAATCGTTTTGTTTTTGTTTATTAGTGTCTGTGTTGTTAATCTTCAAACGTACATCGCCAATGTTTAGATAGCAATTCTGTCTTATAATGCTATTATACAGTCGATTAGACTTATAGGCGATTTTTTTCAATCATAAAAACCACTTACAATGTTTGCAAATTTCACCAAAAATGCCAATCACGTGCAAATATCATGGATATATATTTCGGCTTGAAACTGTAATCGGACTTCGCTTGACAAATCATAGATATAAAAAGATGTGGTATGAGTGCCAATGAGACAACTCTCCATCCAAGTCCCAATTGGTAAAAGTAAACCATTATAGGTCAAAGTACGGCCTTCAACACGGAGCCTTGGCTCACACCGAATAGCAAGCTTTAAAGGGCCCAAAAATGACTAGTGTAAAACCATTCAAACAGGAAAACCAACGGTCTAATCTATATAAAAAACGAGAAACGAGAAACACTTATGAACCACATCAATAAACGACAACCAGTGAACAATCAGGTTCCTGACTAAGGACAGGTGCAAACAAATGCAGCGGGTTTAAACGTTTTGATAGGCGCCAACATTCACCCTACCTGAAACAATAGTGTAACATCACAACATAGAAAGACACACTATACAATATCAAGTGAAATGGCTTAACTCAATCAAAAGACATACTAACAAAAACAAGTGAACATACACTGAACGAATAGATTTGATCTATGACACTATGTAAATACAAAAATAATAATGCATGGGGGTTAGATGTAAAACAACATCAGAAAGACAACCATAACCTTGAACAAAATGTCGCCAAATAAAATAACGTACACAGGTAAATAAAAATAATTTTGTTGTAAGGTATACATGGAGTAAGGAAATAATTTTTACAAAATAAATAATTTTGTTGTTCCTAGTACGAAAACAAAAGTGAAAATTTATCGTCATACTAAACACTTATCAAATGTGGTATATATTAAAAATAGTAAGACTAGATATAACACCGAATAAGTAAACGTTAAATAACAAAAATGCATTACAAATTGTATCAACAGGCCAAATTAACACGAAAGTACGATTTGAGAGTACTCGCAGTTACTGAAAGCTAGTTAAAAGCCAAAAACAATTAATAATAAAAAAATCATGCATCAGAGACTAAAATGAACTAAATCACATCCCAGGAATTTAGTGTTTTAACGTCATGTACAGTCAAAGAAGACATGACTTGTGCAATGCCAAAAAAAGTATCGACAGGCAGTAGGATAGTTAGGAGTTAACCTGTTTATAAATATGTATAATGTAATATATAGATAGAGTAATCACTATATAGAAAATGAACCTGGATGTGTATTTATACATAAAAAAAAAATCGTTTTAAAAGAATACAAATTTAGTTATGTTTTAATTTGCTGATGACAACATCGATATTTGTGCCAATGTAAACTATATTCAAAGATCTAATTACAACATTGGTAAGATAACCTATACTAATAAGTTTGTTTAAAGGTTCGATGAGTTTACACGGATCACATTATGATTTCCGCAATTTATATATGCTTTGCGGAGGAACGGATAAGAATAAAACAATGTCTTTCTGTACCGTCGCGAGGAATAGAAATTCATAGTAATGGGTTTGAGCGCCTGTTATACAAAATAAAATAGTTACTTTATGTTTATTTCACACAAATCCCTCAGTGTTGCTCTTTTATGGGACTTTGTTTATTTCACACAAATCCCTCAATGCTGCCCTTTTATGGGCCATCTCTCTGCAATATATAACCTTAAACTGAAATGTTACTGCAACAAATGTGCATTTTTTTCTTTTCAGTGATACCCCAGGCCAACGTAACCTAAAACATATGTTGAAAAGCTTATATTACTGTAAAGGACCTACATATTAGCCAAATCCACATAATGAATCAAAGCTTTTTATGACGGAGAAATATTCTTTCATTTTAAATGATTTTCTAACTTTTATAACAGAAAATTAAAATCTAAAAAACAACATTAAAAATCGAACTTAACTTGAAATTCAAATAAAAAGTGTCGTTATAAAATACTGTCACGAGGTAAAAAAATTTAAAGTTCATAGAGTATAGATAATTAATTTTATCACCAGGAAACCATCCATCTGAGTTTTGTAACAATTCTAGTCGAATATAACTCTGAACAAACTGTCAATACGATAACAATTAGAATCGAATTTTATATGAAATTCGTGATAGAAAATAACGCTTTAAAATCATAGTATCCTACTTCATGGTAAACGGGCGTTATCCGGAAACAAATAAGTTTACCATTTGAGAAAATTCAAGGGCACAACTCTTTAAAGAAATAAAACAATAGTAACGGTGCAATTCATGACAGGAAGGCATTTTGCAAAGTTATGAAAAGATCCTACTCCATAACCACTCTGGCGGGGAGGCAACAACTTCAAGTTACCCTAAAGATTTCTACTGGGTGGGGGTAAACAAATAGTGGATCTCATAATCTTAACAATGCATCCAAAAAATGTTAAATTTGCAATTTTCATCGTGGTTTTTGCAGAAGTAGAAGTAAAATTTTACATTGTCCGAAGTTCATGTAGAGGATATTGCTCTTCCTTATTTCGGAAGTTTGACATCATAGTTTTCGATATCTACGGTTTGAAGTATAATGCCAGATACACTATATGTGTATTGTCAGTTGCTGCGTTATTCGAGACTGTGTATACTGGTGTTCAAGATATGAAGTCGTTTGCTGTAATAAAATACTTCATTTAATTAAAAAAATATATATAGTTTTATTGCAAAACGAAAAAGTTTAGGTAACAGCATTCATTGAATCTGACTCAGAAGAATCGTTTCGAAGAAGTGGTGTCCCAGAATGTGCGGAGATATTTGAATTGAGACGTTCAAAGCTATTTATATTGTAAGTGTCATTAGAGAGCAAAACAATGCATTCATTCTCATCTATTTGTCGTAAATACAATTCATTCGGTGATTCGTTAAAACAAACCGGATTGTTATTATCGACACCATTTGCATCTTTGTTATTTCTGGGTTTCTTCAGTGTTTCATAGTCATTTGAGGGAAAGTTGGAAATGTTATTGCTACATATTTCCGCTGTTGAATCACATTCATTTCCTTCTTGTTTCATTAGCACTAAATCTTCATCTGTGTTGCAGTATTTTCGATACGACTTTGAAAGAATCCCTGTATTCTCATTTTCGCCTTTGCAACTGTCAATGTCTTCATATATATGTTCTGCTAAACGTTTACAGATACAGCGAGAATCGGATGAATGTTTGTGAATGGAATGTTCGTTGTCTGAGCAGTTATCTGCAACAAAAATCTGCAATAAAAATAATCAGTACCAGGTGAAAAATTTGTCATGCAAAGTCATAAATCATTAACATATGAAAGACATTTTGCCAGTCAACTCGTATGAAATAAAAACAAAAAAGATATTTCTCGTACGAACCAATAGACCTGCAACATAAATAAGACTTAACGATGTCAACTTCAAAGAACTGTATGATGTAATAACCAATGTATTGAAACGGGACAACTCTTTTGTCATTTATTAAAAAGCCCATGGTATATAATATATAATGACTTAATATACCAGAGAGCTGTGAGACATGCTAAACTGATACTAGAGAGCTGTGATACGTGCAAAACTTATACCTGCTGTTTAATTCTATCATCTGGGTAATAACTTCTATTAAATCTATTGTAAGACTAACTTCATATTTAATAAAGAAACATAAACCATACAAATATTTATAATAAATTACTTTTTTTTCTATTAAAGCTGATGTCTATTTGTTTTTTCAATACAAGGAACAATGCAGTTACCAAAGGTTAAACTATACTTGTAATCGAATTCAAAACAATATTTTAACATTGGTATATATATATAAACGAAAACAACACGTTTATCTAGAAGACTTGTCATGATAAGCCGGATTCCACGAAACTGCCCGAATAACGAACGATGAAACATTCCTAAACGGAGCAAATTTTGAATGAATGTAGATAAACTAATCAGTAGTTACAAGCCACTACAGATTGTAGAGGGAAATACGGCAACTTTAAAACAGCGATCTACACGGAGTTGTTCCATCACAGCAGTAGTCCTTTCACTGATGACCCCATTGTCTAATGGGAAATATTTAATGTGTTTATATCCCGAACTTTAAGTCACCCGCTTACTTGATGAATTGCATTTAAGAAGATAGTTTCAAACCGTGAGAGACCTTCATGGATAGTCAAGGTTGTTAAACATCGCCAATGTAGTAGAAACGTGTTGCCGACGGCGAGAGACCCTTATGAGTAGACAGTAAAGGTTGTTAAACATCGCTAATGTAATAGCAACGTGTTGCCGACGGCGAGATCCTAATGAGTAGGCAGTCAAGGTTGTTAAACATCCATAATGTAGAATCAACGTGTTGCCGTCCGTGAGAGGCAGTCAAGGTTGTTAAACATCGCTAATGTAATAGCAACGTATTGCCGACGGCGAGAGACCCTAATGAGTAGGCAGTCAAGGTTGTTAAACATCGCTAATGTAGTATCAACGTGTTGCCGTCCGTGAGAGGCAGTCAAGGTTGTTAAACATCACTAATGTAGTAGCAACGTGTTGTCGACCGTGAGAGGCAGTCAAGGTTGTTAAACATCACTAATGTAGTAGCAACGTGTTGTCAACCGTGAGAGGCAGTCAAGGTTGTTAAAAATCAATAATGAAGTAGCAACGTCTTGTCGACCGTGAGAGCAGTCAAGGTTGTTAAACATCACTAATATAGTAGCAACGTGTTGTCGACCGTGAGAGGCAGTCAAGGTTGTTAAACATCACTAATGTAGTAGCAACGTGTTGTCGACCATGAGAGGCAGTCAAGGTTGTTAAACATCACTAATGTAGTAGAAACGTGTTGTCGACCGTGAGACACCCATATGAGTAGGCAGTCAAGGTTGATAAACATCGTTAATGTAGTAATAACGTGTTGCCGACCGTGAGAGGCCTCCATGAGTAGAAAGTCAAGGTTGTTAAATATCGCCAATGTAGTAGGAACGTGTTGCCGACTGTGAGAGACCCTCCTGGGTAGGCAGTCAAGGTCGTTACATATTATTGTAGTAGAAGAGATGTGTTGCCGACCAACGTGAATGTCGCTATTTAGAAACAAGAATTTAAAAGTAGAACGAACTCTTATAGTATTTAGTAAATGAATTCATCGCCGCAATGACTAACCCTTGTATATAAATGGTGTGTTTCTGTTTGTTTTGTATGTAGTTTAAATATAGTAAAAAGTTCTCATACTTGAGCGGCTTTACAAATAAACTATACAATACATATGATATACTAGCACATATGCTAGATTTATGAATAGCTATACTACCTTGAACCATCTAGCAACATATATTGACGATAACTCATCATCCTGACTTTTCGTTGTAAATTTGTATTCACTTCCATTACCATCTTCGGATATAATTGTACTTATATGTTCAATGACATACTTATCACGTGATAACTGGAACCAACCACACTCACGCCTGTAAAAAAACATTATCAATTATAATCTATATGAAAAGTTTTATTTATGTATATATATATATACGGAAAAAGTATATAAGAAATCCAAATATTTTAATGGATTCCTCCATTGTAAGTACATAAAACTAGATGCTTATGAACAATGTATCGCTCACCTGTGTTCATGACCACACTTCGGATAATAAAATACGAGTGCACCTCAAAGCAGAAAATAACTTTGCAATTCTTGACTTGAATGGCTTATTTATAACGTTTTCAGGTGTCCTTGACTTTCGACCTATTCAAACGAGTTTGCATTCTCACTTGGAAAGATTGTTAGCGATAAGATGTCAGTGATACAGAAACTTCAGAAGTTTAAAAAGATTTGATGTAAGATATAGTTTTCCTTTGTAACGTATAAATAAAAGGTGAGATGACAAAGGGATATTCAAAGTCATACGTCCGGCGAAGAAAAACTGACGTCATGGCAAAAAACAAAACAAAAACGACGAAAAGACAAACAAGTCTACAAATTAAAACACAACATGAGACTGAGCAAAACGAACCCGAAGCTGATGTCACGTTTACAGGAAAAGTTAGTAGATCTGCTCCACATGTGACACCTGTCGTTTTACTGCAATGAAATACCATGATAAATTGTATCACTGATTTGACATCGATATACTTGTATTTGATTATCTAATCCCAGTACCCAATTCGTAAACCATCGGTCCTGTAAATTTTCTACCTCTTAAACTTGAACGATTGTCATTTTTTAAAAACTAAAACACGCTTTTCAGGACAAAAGATAGACAAGACTGTTACCGGTAGAAACAACACAGACAGACAGATATTGAAAAAATTAAAACGCACAAAGCACAACACTAATAACTTAAGAAAAAGCGACACGAATCTTTAAAGTGATATATCATCAATAAGACAGCATCCTCTTTAATCTTTTTTTTTTAAATTTAAATAGTTTATGTTGACCTTTGAGCTCTTTGCATTGAGATAAAACTGTTTGATACAAGAAAACCCGGCCAATGACAAATCCAACCGAATATTTTCGGAGAACTACATATATCTTGACGAGCAGTCCTATTTGAATTTAAAAATCTACAGTAGTTTCTACAACAGATTTTGTGCAAATTGTTCAATTAAGTAACAATTTTAACTGGTATCAAAACGCATATTGTCTCTTTTTTCCCAAAAGAAAAAACCAGCAGCAAGCAATGTAGTTGTAAGTGTTGAAAAAGTACTGTGTTGCTGAGTCTTGAGTTTCGGAAGAAGTGGTTTATGGACAGTTGTTTAATATTTCGTCTTGATTTGCTACATGTCTATTGACATACAGTATTTGCTTACTCAGTTGGACATCCCAACATTGTATATAAAAATATGTTTATGACTTTAATGAAGTATAAAATTAGATTGCGGCATTATTCTTATTATAAATATTAAGTCAAATATTATCGCTTACCTTGCAAACCCTGCTAGTGTTATTACAACCATGACTAGGAGAACAGAAAGACAAATTCCAACAGTAGTAGAGATACAGTCCTGACCACAAGTGTCAAAAATCCAAGCCCCACTCACGTGACCCGATGTTGGAAATAGTTTTGGCACTTTAATATCACATCTTTTAGCTATATTCAGAATTATTGACATCCCTTTTTCTGGTCCCAGTTTGGTCAGTAAATCGTTAGAGAATAAATCTTCCTTAAATTCTTCTAGTGGGCAGGGTATATGTTCCCAGATTGTTAATGGATCTATTGGAAGTTCTGGTAACTCACAAACTTCACAAAAATCTGACGTCATCTTTCACATAGTGATGTCATCTGAAACATATTAAACGGGGAAAATAAAAATACTTTTATAGCTTTCACTTTCGGAACTAACTTTCAGAGGGGCAGAATATGTTATTTTTTTTAAATTCACAAACATAAATGATACATGTTGTAAAGTGATTCAGAACAGACATCGTATATCCAAATGTTTAAATGTATAATACATGTATGTTTCCAATGGTTCTATGATAGATGTGAATATGGTTTTAAAATTAGATAAGAGCATACAATTCGGTCCACCGGCCTGTTAGAGTAGTTCCTTAAATGTAAATGTACCTTGTACATTTGTAAGTATACCTTAACCCGTTACTATATGGAATGTGAACGCTTTAACATATTCTAGAACTGGGAATTATATAAAGAACCATTTCATCAAATTTAGAATTGAATTAATCACTAATGGATAAATTTGTCTAAAGCCTATAGCAAGATCTTTTGTTTCATTATTTTATAACAAAATGAAATCTGTCTCACAAATAGTTAGAAGGAAAGATACATTTCTAATAAGCCATCTTTAATTAAATTCGTTTATTTTAACCCAAAGCTAGTTATCTTGTTATTGTATTATTTGTATTTGAAGGATTAAACAGTCTGGCTATTTGTATCAAGTTCTATTCAGATAGACTAGACAACATCCATCGCTTATTTGTTTTTCCGCCATGGACAGGATGGTACGAGCCCTACAGTTAATTAATATTTTTTAGAAATACTATAGAAAATGCGCATTTAACCATGTTTTATACATACAACCATGAACGGTATGGTACATGTATAGATGTAACATGGCCGCCATGGAAGAACCGTAATTAAGAAATCATGCACTTCTAAAACCAGATTTAATACACCGGTTTCTACATAAGGAAATGCGTGTACCAAGTCAGGAATATGACAGTTGTTTTCCATTCCTTTGATGTGTTTGAGCTTTTGATTTTGCCATTTGATAAGGGACTTTCCGTTTTGAATTTCCCTTGGAGTTCGGTATTTTTGTGATATTTTATTTCCCGGTGATTTTTAATAACAAACATACAACAATAATTTGGGAAAAGCTTATATATTTGTAACGGTTTCAAGAACTTTAATACTCGTCTTTAGACAAATTAGTTCGTTCTTAACCTACATAAAATATTTGCCACTAGGCGTAAAACAACCAACGATCGACCAAGCACAAATTAATAATATGTACTCCAGAAAACCTTTAATCAAAATGTTTAAGTTACATCTAAAAAAAATTCACGGACAAATACATATATTCAATCTTTCAATCAGATTAATTGAGGTCTGGAGCTGGCATGTCAGTAACTACTAGTAGTCCTGTGTTAATTTATGTTGATCATTGTCATTTTGCTTAGTTTCTCCTGTTACCTATTCTATAGAACCTCGGACTTCTTTTAAACTGAGTTTTACTGTGCGTATTGCTATGTGTTTGTTTATTCCACATTGGCTAGAAGTATAGGGGGAGGGTTGAGATCTCATAAAACATGGTTAACCCCGCCGCATTTTTGCGCCTTTCCCAAGTCAGGAACCTCTGGCCTTTTTTTGTCTTGCATGTTTTTTAAATTTTGGTTCATTTATATGTTTCGGAGTTTAGTGTAACGTCTATTTTCGCTGAACTAATATACATTATTGTTTAGGGGACAGCTAAAGCCCACCTCTGGATGCGGGATTTTCTCGCTGTGTTGAAGACCCATTGGCGGCCTTGGATGTATTCTGCTCTTTGGTCGGGTTGTTGTCTCTTTGATATATTCCCCGTTTCCATTCTCAATTTTAACTATATAAATACATGAAACCCAGTTAAATTTTAGAATATATTTTAATCCCGGCGAGAGGAGATGCATATATACTTAAATCTCCTTTTTTATCATTATAAATGTTTTGGAGATATATTTCAGCGTGATCCGATATGCATGTAACACGAGTACCAGAATTATCGACAAGCAATCGATTGAGTTATGTGAAGTATTTTTATTTGAAGACGGTATGATCGATAGTCGAACAATAATACAACATTGTTCAGGAGTGAACATCTGTATACTTGTCCATGATTACATATTGTGCGACATAATATGAAATTAATAAGGATCAGAAATGCAAGATAAAATCGACTTATCCTTACTTAATGAACTAAAAATAAGAAGTCATTGTATATGTCTGCAACATTTGTTACATGTGAGATATCAAATATCAAATTCTTAATTAATTTTATGTAAAACATTTAATAAAAGTAAATATCATATCAGTATTTCAATATCTATGACTGCTAGATTATATATGTTGCAAATGATTTTTTTTTTGCCACATTGAGGAAAAGTTTTTAAATAATTAGGATGACCAATCTAACTCGGCACTTTTTTCTGATTATCCCTTTGATATGTACAATGACACACTAATAGAATAAGGTTGCCACGTTATCTTGTCAAGTAATGTCACTTTTGAAAAGATTCATCACTTAGACTTGTTACATAAAATGCCCAGTATTATATGAGATATGTAACAAGATTTTGGATAGATGAGTTGGACTAAAGGGGTATCTTCTAGAGCTATTTCCGACCTTTGGTAGCTATCTATTTTTCTTATTTGTAGATTCTACAATTTAAGACACTAAAAAGCATACAGACTGGATTCGAACTTGAGTGATATCAGTGCACGACACGTCTTTAAAGAAAACCTCCATATGATATAACAACTATTATGAATTGTTAAAATACTAAAAATGTATATGCATCTTTAATAAGCGTAACGTAGACGTTTATGTTTGCCTATAATTCGCAAATTTACAGAGAAAGGTGTAGAATAATGACCATACATTAGATCCTTTTGACAGGAACGCAAATTGTTGGCGTCCATGAGGAAATGCTATAGTGTTGGAGACTTGCGTGCAGTGTAGAAAAGATTATTTACGAAGGTGAGAATATTTTGATGATTAACGGGCTTAAAACTCATGGGAGTTTAGGCTTTCTCTATTTGATATCATATTTTGTACTTTTGGCGCAAAATTATTGATTGTTCTTTGCATATCTATGTGACATTAACATCTTATCTCTATGGACAATTCACGTTAAGGAAAACAGTACAAGTATACAATTTATATATAATGTATAATATACTTTTGCAAAAAGAATAAAGGATACTTTAACTTGAATTAGTATCCCTTTTTGTCTGTAAGGTTTTGAAAAAAAATCTAAAACATTATCTTAAAGACCTGATATTAATTTAAATTGACACGAATTAGTTATGAAGGGGGGTATATATATTTTAATTTCTGAGCTACATGACGACTATGTTTGGGCAGTTTTTGTCAAAACTAGTTAAAAATGTACTAATATCTTTCCACTCGAAACAATTTAATTTGGTGTTTGTCAATATCTCATTTTTGTATAAATATCAAAGAGATTTTGATTGATTTATCGCAGTTAAAACTCAGTGGTGAATTTTTCATGTATATTCAGGACGAGAACAAATTAAAAATTCAACAGGTTGGCAATGCAAAACGGACAAATCGAAATGTAGGTCGGCTATTTAGATTGTCAATTGAAAAAGTATATTGGATAGAGGACAGAAAGTAGCCTTGCAACAGATCAGGTTAGGTCCCTTAAAAAATAACTGCAAGGTTTTTAACGTCAGATACCTTAGAACTCTACTAACATGAAACATCAAATTAAACGTCCTCGCTCCGTCTGGACTTGGCTGTGTACATACGTATTTATACTGTCTGCATAGTCAAACGAAGGTCCCTCTTTGGCGTGAGTGTACTGCCATACGATTAAAGTCTCGTTTTGCCGTTGTAAGACTGTGAAGTGTCAAAATAGAAACGAGTTATATATTTCTGTGCAACATATTAGTCGTAACTGAGTGTAATGAATTAAGGCGTGCAATGTCCATACTAAATTTCAAGGTGTATTATATATAAAAAGGGAAATAAATTTCTATATGAATGCATATAACTGTTGATGAAATCTCTTATAGTGAATGAAAATAACACTAAATAAATTGCGAGCGTCCGAGGCGTTTTTCTGTCTTTATCCTTATCAGGAACGCTCAAACCTAAAATAATTATAAGCCATGCAGGGATGTATAAATATATAGAAACGTTCGAAGCTATATGACAAAAAGAACATAGAGACAAGCCAAATATTGCGATTGACTTTCAAAGTGCTGACTTAGTATAGGCACTTTCGAATGAATGCGCATGGGGTCGCAGTGGCCGAGAGTGGTATAAGTTGTTCATCAATAGCCTGTCAACACTGAGGTTGTGAGTTCGAATCCAGCACGTGACAGGTGCATTGGACTTAGATCTTAGTTGACAAGGATTGCCAGTTTTCCTGACAAAGATTGAAAGTTCTCTCCGGGCAGCCCGGTTTCCCTCACCAATAAAAACTAGCCGCCAAGCTACAGCCAAGAGTGTCCAAAGTGGCGTTAATAACTAGCAATCAATCAATCAATCAATCGTATGAAAGGATTGGTTTAAATCCGATTCAACCTTTAGGTTAAATATGTCAATCATTGCGGTTTTTATTCACTTTGAAACTTGGAAGTTAAACGTCCTCAAACGTGGCTGTGTATTTATCTAATCCGTACAGATAAGGGTACACTACATGTACATCATACAAAAAGTTAAGGAGATTTAATAACCACACCAAATTGTAAAGAGTCAGACCAGACTATCCATATGTCGTTTTGGTATATTTTCAAATTCTTGTCACTTCTCCATATTGGTAAAATTGGTATATACGTTTTATATCCTCAATTTTCAAACAGGAGCGCTTTATTGTTATCTTGTTTTTGCTCACCATACCACAAATAAATATAAATGCCACTCGAGTTCAACTCATTTTGATACTGTAAATTCATATATAAATGCGTGCATTTATAATTTGATTTGATTTGATTTGATTTTTATATCATAATAAAATAAATTGGCAAAATATTTTGTTGGAGGAATAGTGATGGAAGGGGAATAACTCAAAATATTATTGTCGCCACAGAAAAAAAAGTATCGTTTGTAACAGTTTTCATAATACGATTTACTTTAGTTACTTTTGTTTAGTATTCTGTGTTGTGTTTTGATTGATTGATTGCTCGTAGCTTGTTTAAGATCCAGTGGTGAATATTTCATGCCAATTCAGAATGAGAAAAAAAAAAACAATTCTAAATCAAATAAGCAGGTTCTGTAAATGGGTCGACTGGATGAATGACGGAAATTTCGACTGCCACTTGAAAATGAGAGTATGATGGATAGTGGTAGAAATTTTACTTTACAACAGGTCACATACACACCTTCGAAGTGGTGTTACAAGGGCTTAAGAACGTGCAGACAGTGTAGCACACTCCCTATATGAGGCATAAGATTTAATGTACCCATTCTGACCAGACGTGACTCTGTATTTAGACATACTACACAGCCAAACGGATTTAGCAAGGATTTTATTGCTACATAGGATAACTAGGGATGGCCATATTTCTTTACCCAGTTAACCCTTTTGATTACGTAATTTTTTTTAAAAAAAGTAGTACTAAACTAAATATGTGTAATCGTTCAACAATACCCTAAACCACCCATGCAGATATTCGACTTGATGCCTTTTTGTAGTGGTCATATCATTATAAAAATATTCCATATCACCTAGTCAGCATCTTAATTTCATATTGGAAATCATATACATTTGAGAAAAACTTTGTTCTTAATAATTAAAAAACCTTGTGAGAGTACAAATGTCGGAATTCTTTCATCTGTTCGTGGAAGTGATGTCCTATAATTGTAGTCTGTGTTCATTCAGTTTTACATATTTTCTGTCTTATTCAATTTTGTGTTATTTTTTCAAGTCCTTGATGTTCTTGACATTTTTGTTTTCTTGACTATCACTATATGGAGTCATGTCAGTCCTTGATGTGGGACGTGAGGTATGCGCGAGCTGTTATTCATTTATATATATATATAAATTGACTGAATAATAGCCAACGATAAATCTTACGGGGCGATGGATCGTATAATTATGATATAGTACACTACAAAATATGATATATAACAAGTCTAAAAGGGTACAACATCACCAAAAAATAATAATAAAATGAACAAATGTTAAATATTTCGGATAACAGATATCCTTCATCTGTTCGTGGAAGTGATGTCCTATAATTGTAGTCTGTGTTCATTCAGTTTTACATATTTTCTGTCTTATTCAATTTTGTGTTATTTTTTCAAGTCCTTGATGTTCTTGACATTTTTGTTTTCTTGACTATCACTATATGGGGTCATGTCAGTCCTTGATGTGGGACGTGAGGTATGCGCGAGCTGTTATTCATTTATATATATATATATAAATTGACTGAATAAGAGCCAACGATAAATCTTAAGGGGCGATGGATCGTATAATTATGATATAGTACACTACAAAATATGATATATAACAAGTCTAAAAGGGTACAACATCACCAAAAAATAATAATAAAATGAACAAATGTTAAATATTTCGGATAACAGATCTCCTTCATCAGTATGATCACGATGATCATTTTACATCGTGATCATACTGATGAAGGATATCTGTTATCCGAAATATTTAACATTTGTTCATTTTATTATTATTTTTTGGTGATGTTGTACCCTTTTAGACTTGTTATATATATATATATATATATATATATATATATATATATATATATATTCAAATGTATTTAATCAACATGCATGATATGTTTCCTAATACCATAGCTAATCTGTAACGCTTTCATACAACACAAACACTTACAAAATATGCTTTCGAAAATGGTTTAAAATTAGTTTGTCATCGCAGTATTATAATATTATGAATATATAGCTTATAAATTTCATTTCGTCGCGTATATTTGGATTAAAACACGCGATCACAACTCGATTACATATATATAAAACATTATTTTACAAAATGTATATAAAAGTTTAATAAAAACTTACCTTTACAACATATGTAAAAAGGAATAATACTTGTGTGTCAAATTTTGTTTAGTAACCACTTTTCTGAAAAAGTAATTATTTCCAGATAAATCAACAACTACTTGTTAAAATGCTAGGTTAAAACACAGCAGTTATACTCATAAAATGTGCTATTTGAGCTACCTTGTGAAAAGTGACTTCAGGTTTTATTTTCAACAAAGGAACTTGAATGTTTTCAGTGATATGCGATACGTAAAAGCTCATGTATATAGGATAATGATACATGTCTACTCGACTAAAAGTAGTAATGGCCTCAATTTCGGAATTTTAACTGTAAATGTATCAAAAGAAGGATTTTATTCAGACATGGAAGCCCCGCATTCACAGTAATAATGCTTGCAAATCGGATTTAGTATCATTCGGTTGGATTTAATAAGCATGATATTATTGCAATGGTTATAAATTCTGCAATAAAACCACATTCACTGCATGGCAATATACCATAATATATATCTTTTCTAAGGTTATAGTTACAGAGATATATAATATATGAAATACTTAGAATATTGATTATCTTCTTTAAATGAAAATAACGCTTTATAAATTTCGTGCGTTCGAAGCGCTTTTTTGGATTTACCTTCATCGGGAACACTCTAACCCAAACATTTGAAAACCAGAGATGTATAAATACGTAGGAACGTAAGAAAAGTATAACTATAAATAGAAATGCCCAATCCAACTTTGTATGAGTTACCTTCCAACTAAAACACGCATATCGATCGATATAATTTTTGAACACTATACACGTTTGATAGTTTTTCAATTTACATATGACTTTCATGTAATTAATAAAAACATATATATTTTTAAGTAGTTCATAGCTAACCAGAAGCGTGAAAGATTGAACTCTTTTCATAGATAGAAAATTAAAGCAAATTTCCATCTAAATTGTACATAATAAAGAAGTATACCATGTCTAATAGTTGTACTAAATGTACCAGGAAGAAGGGGTTTGACAAATATGTACATATCTACTTGAGATATTATACCATTAGTTTTAGTAATTGACATGAACTTAATTAATACACTCATCCTCAATCACGGAGAAAGATATTTAAGGACATATTAAGAGATACAGTCAGAGACATTTCTCATTACGTCCGCCCTGTTTTCTAGGTAACCTTTAATAGGGACACGAATAATTTACAAAGTCTTCCTCTTTTAATTACTTGCAATTCATCCTTTAGTCTTATTTTTTAAATAGGGTTTGGTTTAATAAGATAACCTTTTTTAACTTAACAAACTTGCACTCGCACGAATGAATTTGGAGAACTCGTATATTTTAGGTCTTCACCTCTACTGGTCAGTGTCCCACAGTATTGCGTTAACGTATATCCTATAAAGGAAGCCCAAAGGACACCGACTTCATAACTTCGCTTAAGTTGTGTGGCTGATTTGGTAGGAACATCAAATCAATAGATAAATATTACTACAAAGCCAGCTGTCGCTGTTTCCCACATAATAAATATCAAATGTTCACCAATTGTAGTAATGAGGTACTTATAGAGAGAAAATGACTGTCATTTAATCACGGTGTTTTTAACTGTGACAAGAAAATAACGGTAGATACTGGATGAAAACGGAAATAAAATTGTTGCTTGGTCATTGATAACTAAGAGCGATAATAATATACTTGATGACGATAGGGTTCGACCTAGCTGACCTTCCTATGCAGTTTTTAGCTCACCTGGCCCAAAGGGCCAAGTGAGCTTTTCTCATCACTTGGCGTCCGTCGTCCGTCGTCCGTCGTCCGTAAACTTTTACAAAAATTTTCTCCTCTGAAACTACTGGGCCAAATTTAACCAAACTTGGCCAATATCATCATTAGGGTATCTAGTTTAAAAAATGTGTCCGGTGACCCGGCCAACTAACCAAGATGGCCGCCATGGCTAAAAATAGAACATAGGGATAAAATGTAGATTTTGCCTTATATCTCTGAAACCAAAGCATTGAGAGCAAATCTGACAAAGGGTAAAAATGTTTATTAGCTCAAGATGTATCTGCCCTGAAATTTTCAGATGAATCAGACAACCCGTTGTTAGGTTGCTGCCCCTGAATTAGTAATTTTAAGGAAATTTTGCCTTATTTGGTTATTATCTTGAATATTATTATAGATAGAGATAAACTGTAAACAGCAATAATGTTCAGCAAAGTAAGTTCTACAAATAAGTCAACATGACCAAAATGGTCAGTTGACCCCTTAAGGAGTTATTGCTCTTTTATAGTCAATTTTTAACAATTTTTCGTAAATTTTTGTTATCTTTTACAATCTTCTCCTCTGAAACTACTAAGATGAATTTAACTAAAGTTGTAAACAATCATCATTAGGGTATGTAGTTTAAAAATTGTGTTTGATGACCCCGCCCTCAAACCAAGATGGCCGACATGGCTAATAATAGTACATAGGGTAAAATGCAGTTTTTGGCTCATATATCTAAACCCAAAGCATTTCTAGCAAATCTTTCAAAAACAAAATTGTTCATTAGGTCAAGATCTATCTGCCCTTAAATTTTCAGACCATTCAGGCAACCCGTTGTTGGGTTGCTGCCCCTGAATTGGTAATTTTTAGAAATTTTTTCAGCTTTTGGTTATTATCTTGAATATTATTATAGATAGAGATAAACTGTAAAGAGCAATAATGTACAGCAAAGTAAGACCTACAAATAAGTCACATGACCAAAATGGTCAATTGACCCCTTAAGGAGTTATTGCCCTTTATAATAAATTTTTAACAATTTTCATAAATTTTGTAAATTTTTACAAAATAATTTCCACTGAAACTACAGGGCCAAGTTCATTATAGATAGAGATAATTGTAAGCATCAAGAATGTTCAGTAAAGTAAGATCTACAAACACATCACCATCACCAAAACACAATTTTGTCATGAATCCACCTGTGTCCTTTGTTTAATATGCACATAGACCAAGGTGAGCGACACAGGCTCTTAAGAGCCTCTAGTTTTATTACGAAAGATACGCCTTATACGTCCTAGGAATGGCTGTAATATTTCCCTTGCTCTTTGAAATTTCATGAGACTGAAATCGCACACGGAAAAAACGTCATGAAATATAAAAAACAAGAATGTGTCCATAGTACACGGATGCCCCACTGGCACTGTCATTTTCTATGTTCAGTGGACCGTGAAGATGGGGTCAAAACTCTAATTTGGCATTAAAATTTGAAAGATCATATCATAGGAAACATGTGTACTAAGTTTCAAGTAAGATAACTTTTATTACTCATTCAATTTTTTTTTTTTAAATTCTATGTTCATGCATATGTATAAGAATAAGTATATATAACCAAATTATTTAAGGAAGAAAGATCTGACTTGTGTCATTCGATGTATATATTTTTTTCTCAGCTGCATAATAACACTTAATGTTTGCATATACCCTGAAGGGGGTCAACAAACAATAACGATTTTTCCATACAGATAAACCACAGATATATGTATGATAGTCATCCTATCATGCTTGGTGCTCTTCTTTGTTTTTGATGTATACCGGTGATAAACTCCCGACTAATTGCATTATCTTTAATCAGCCCACTCACCTTGTAATTTCGTATCTCATTTCCAATCATTTGTAACACGGTAGTGATCAGATAAAATATTCCCCATGGCTCATGGCATATATCATATGATTTTAATGTTTTCTGTGGCTCTCATCGCATGGTATATCAAATTGATGTCTGATTGAATAATTGACCTTTTTCTTCCAATTGATATATAATTTGTGTTCATGAACTGCAGTATCTTAATGAGACCTCATGCCTATACAATAGAAACCTTATACCCCATGGGAATATAACATATACACATTTTGTAGTACATTGCTTTGTCATAAAGTTCCCTCGCCATCGTTCGACAAAGTCGTGACAGTTTATTGAAAAAAATAGTATTGCATAAACCCATTTAAACTTAACGATTTTTTCACCCACGAAAATTTCTCTATTTGTTCACATGCAATGTCTATCTAAAATTTAAGGAAATACTTATTATTTAGAAAAGTTTTAACACGATATACTAATATCAATAATGACGACTTCAGTATGTACACTAAAGAGATTTATCCTGCTGAACTGACTTTAAATAAAGCTAATACTAACAATGAACACTGCCCTTTCTTGGATCTTGATATCTTTAACGGGAAGCTTAATACCAAAATTTATGATAAAAGAGATGATTTTTCATTTCCTATTGTTAATTATCCATTTTTAGCTGGTGACGTTCCCTTGTCACCATCTTAAGGTGTTTATATATCTCAACTTGTTCGATTCGCTCGTGTATGTAACAACGTATTTGATTTTAACGAAAGAAATCTATGTATTACTGAAAAATTATTATACCAGGGTTTTCGATATCACAAACTAGTCAAAACATTTACTAAGTTTTATCATCGGTACAAGGACATCATTCGTAAATATAAATCAATATGCAGACATCTTATACGTTCAGGTATTTCACATCCAATCTTTTATGGTAATATTCTTTACAAAGTACAAAAATGTCGGCATTCACATCAAAAGCTAACCAAACCTTTAAACAGACTTATTAAGAAGGGATATAGTTACGATACTGTTGTCAAGTCATTAAAGATGGCATATTTTGGTTTTAATATTGATTCACTCATAGGGTCTTTGCATCGGAAATAAACACATTTATTCTAAAATCAGTTGTTGACATGATACGGGTTATGTTCTTCTCGTATATTTTATGATGGTATGATACTAAACCCCTAACGGGAGGGATTGTGCTTGATTTTCATATGATGAAGACATAATCTTTCAATCAGTTTAATTGAGGTCTGGAGCTGGCATGTCAGTAACTGCTAGTAGTCCTTTGTTAATTTATGTATCATTGTCATTTTGCTTAGTTTCTTTTGTTACCTATTCTGACATGGGACTCGGATTTCTTTTAAACTGAGTTTAACTGTGCGTATTACTGTGTGTTTGTGTTTTCTACATTGGCTAGAAGTATAGGGGAGGGTTGAGATCTCACAAAACATGTTTAACCCCGCC